GTGCTGGACTTGATGACCTCCTGAGGTCTCTTCCAGCCCTGGGGCTCTATGATTCTATTACTTCCCCCCCTCTGCAATGTCTCATTCAACGCATGTAGGTGACTCATTTAGGTCAATGAGAAAAGCCACATCCAAAATCTAGTTTTTATCATCTAACTCTGGGTAAATTTGAGATTTCTGAGCAAGAAATTGCTTGATTTCTGGTAGAAGTGCCAGAAAGTGGTCCAGTACTTAATCACAGTTTAACCAGCGCACTTCATTGTGTGCAACGAGGTCTCCAGAGTCTGTCCACAAGTTCTACAAACTGACGGTGATGCAGGGGCGAGCACACAGGAAATTAACAATCTTTGTCTATTACTGCTTTCAGTCTGTCCCCCTTGTCAAGTTTAGCACAGAGCACTTCTTGGTGTATTATGCAATGCACCCCAAATGTGTCAGGTACAAAAGCTTTCAACAAAGCTTGGAGGGGCACTCATCTGTTGTAACTGATACCATTTTTTCCAAAGGTAATTTGTGATCTATGAAAAAAATCAGTAAATGTCTCAAAAAATATTGAGCCCTGTGCTCACTCATATATTCCCAAGATCTAGATATTCTTCTGTCATGTTCAGGTCACTGTCAACACAATGGAACCATATGCAGAGCTGAGCAATGTCGTTAATATCTTTGCATTCATCCAGCACCATACTGATAGCTGCACATTGATAGCCACACTTCAATGTGCAGTTCTGAAAACCTGCTCAGCAAGATCGGCAGCTCTATCTTGCAGTCTGCAACTCACAGTACACCTGCTGAATTACAGGCATTTAACACATTTAATAATTTCCAGTTGGTTTTTAAACCCATCAGATAAAACACCTGAGGGTTTGATGATGCATTGTTTCACTAACTCACCATCTGAGAATGACTTTCCATTTTTTGCAAGCAACCAAGCAATGCGGAAGCTAGCCAAGGTCACTGCGTCACTCTCATCTAATGTTCATTTAAGTACCCACTTGTGCATTTCCAGGGCTTCTTCAGCTTTCAGAGCTGTCGAGCACACTGGGCAGAGCCTACTGCAAATTTTGCTACATGAGAGGAATGGCATGTTTCATAATGCCAACTAATGTATTTTTTTGGAACGGATATCACCTCATTGCAAATTAAGCAAAATGGCCTCTCTTTCTGTTCAATAATGAAATAACCTTGTTCCCAACTCCCTGACATTTACCATTCTGCCCTCGTCACTGACTTTCCTCTTTTTGGTTGCTATGTCTGTACTTTGATTTTTCACTCGATTCTCCTTCTTTATCATGTCTTTTCAACACAAAGTGATCCATTACTGGGGCAAATTAAATTACCATCAAAAGAAACATAAAGAAGTAGAGGAAACGTGAGGCTCTCACAATGTTGTGTGCAATCAGCATGCACCTCACACGTGCCCTTCCTTTAAATGCCTGTCACTTCTCATTTTGCTAGGGCAAGGTCAAGCACTTTACTCCATGCTCCTCTCCCTCTCCACTTCTTCTTCCCTCAAACCCACCCCCCCACCTGGTTTCTTTCCCGGGCATGCCCCATCCCCTCTTCTCCTGCTTCCTCTCAGCACTTCAAAAGCACCATGAATTGGCGGACTTGTGCCCCTTTCCCTCTCCGATCTCTCTCCTTCCCTCCCAGAGCTTGAACTCTTCAAATCGGCTGATTCGCAGTGTTCATGTTCTGGGAGGGAGGGGAAGGAATAGGTAATGAGTAGGTAAGTGCGGGGGCTGCACATTAAACCCAGTGGGCTGCATGCAGGCTGCAGTTTGCCCACAACCGCACTATGCTATACCTGACATTAATAATAGTAATAATCTATTACATATAAGAATTAAGTTAGTCATTCTTATTCCAAAGAAAATACTTGGTAGCTGAGCTAAATGCCTTGGTAGGCCTAGCAATCAACCACCACTTCAGAACAGTGGGTTCCAAAATGATCTGGAGAAATCTATTTTAGACAAAGGAAGAATCCAAGTTTAACACTTAGACTTTCCTTGAAAGTGGAATTTGAAGAAGAATTTGGGGTTCCACAAAATATGGGGCATAAGGGTATGCCTTACATGTTTACATAGACTGTAAAAGATAAAGCAATAAAAGTTAAAATATGCATAATTCTATTAGAACTAAGTGGTGGCTAATCCAGTGGAACATCTAAGGAAAATTATCCTGTAAAATGGGAAAAGAGAGTATATGAATGAAAATGGAGATTATTCTAGTTTTGTAGCTACTTGGTTAATGATGTGCTGCCAATAGTTCAACAAAGATCTCCAACAAAAAATGTTCTGCTTTACCCTGTGATTTAAACCCCCTGTGTTGCAGAGCGGAGGAATGAGGAACTGGAGAATCTATTAATTTTTTTTTTCTAGTTTAAACAGATGCTTTCTCATAATCAAGGAGGGAGGCAACAGCACTTGGCAAACAAATGCATTTAACTGCATTTTGCTGGCAATGTTTTTACTTTTGTTTCTGAAATCTATTTTGAGTTCATTGATGTATAGAATTTGTTTCCTATAATATGAGAGAATGAGCTTTGGGGAGGATCCTTCCCTTCAAAAATTTCTTCAGAATCACTGGCGCTGAATGGATTTCTAAGCAAATGGTATTCTCTAGAGAAGAACGAGGATTAAAAATCCCCTCTGACAGATGCCTTGGCAGTACCAGAGAAGGATTTAAGACACTAGAGTTGGAGTGACTTCCCTGATCTGGCTTTGTTTCAGAACAGGATCCTACCACGGGGTTCCTGCCGGTTACCTCGGGTACATTCCGCATGTGGCAAAGATGTACAAATAAAATCCTGATCACTCCATAGCTGCTGCTTGATGCAAATGTAGAATGTGGAGGCTTACTTATTGTTTATGTCAGAGCAGCTTTATGCAAGCCTTCCTAGAGGATGTAATAGTTTTAATAGAAAATGCAGCAAGAAATATGACCCTAAAGCATCTCAATGCAAGAGGGCAAGGGACTCATTGATATCTGGTAGGGAGTTTCAGCTGGCCTGACAAGCTGAATGTACCCCAAACTCATTAATGTTGTAACCTGAGATCTCAAATAAGAGATCAGTGGAAAGCAAGTAACATACTAATCCTTAATATGATTGTGTGGTGAGTGTATGGAGGACAAATTTCAAAATTCCAAACATATTGGCAATTGTTATCAAAGTCTGTCTGCCAGGCAGGGCTAAAGTTAAGCCACCCTAG